GGCTATGATATCATTAAGGTCATTTATATTCTCACCTTTTCTACACTTGAATAAACAGTAGACCTATTCGGCTAACTCAATGTTGTGCCCAGTTCAAATCTCCCGGGGTCAAGATTCTTTGTGTACTGTATTTGCATTATAATGTTGCATTCACATTTAAATGATATGGAAATTCCTGAAACAAAACGTTTTATCCCCAAAGGGTTTGAATTAGGTACAACATTTAGTTAGCCGAATAGGTCTATTTGACAAATGATGAATGCGAAATTTCCCCTAAAACCAAACAAATTCATCTTCTTAAGAATTTTGATATTTAACAACAAATATCGGAGAACAGACATCAGACATCAGAAATCCGCACAAGACATTATAATTGGGCGTCTTTCTGACTCGAATTTATCGATGGATCCGGTGAAGAAAGTGTTTTGTTTACAATTGCAAATTAAGTCTTGCGTTACTTTATTTAGCTGACAAGTTCGTAACTCCATTTGAAGAAATTTTCCCACAAGACTACAAAAAAAAAGGCCGTCAAAAGTTCTATTTGTCAGCAAGAAAATGCGACGGTTGTTCGGTCATTTGCGCGCCAAAATTGTAATTTTTGGGAGCGGTAAATGGGTTAAAAACCATCATTTTTGTGCGCAATTATCTCACAGCTTTAGTCAGCACCGGCTCGCGCAATTTTCCACCTCGGTGTCGGTAGGTAGTGGTGATATTTACTGAGCCACGAAGCGGCGATGTCCGATGTCTCATGTCCGAAGTCTGATGTCTGATGTTTGATGTGCGATGTCTGATGTCTGATGGTTGATATCTGATGTCTGATGTCTGTTGTCCGATTCTGTTCCCCGTGTCCGATATATGATGTCCGATGGTTGATGTTTGTTTTTTGACGTAAGATGTCCGATATTTGATGTCCGAAGTCCGATGTCTGATGACCAGTGTCTGGTGTCCGATGTCTGATGTCCGATGTGTGACTGTGTGATGTCCGATGTCTGATGTCTGATGTCAAATGTCTAAAGTCTAATGTCCGACGTTTACTTTCACCATTTCGTATTTGATAACGAACTATTCTATATCGTTACCAAAGCATTAATAATTGATTTAATCTATTACTTTTAGGCTTTTTTCTCTTTTTAACTCCAGTTTACATCATCGGAGAGCAGCCCAAATTAACTGGTCAGAACATTGGCTCTGCTGTTTTTTGTTATATTATCGCAAACCAATTTCTTGTCTTCACCTTTGGAATCGTCTCTCTATACACTGTCACGCTACTCGCCGTGGAGCGTTGGTTTGCTGTCTTTCGTCCCTTGAGATACAAAACGACATTTAGGCCTCACAGAGTGCAAAAATATCTTGTAATCATCTGGTTGAGTTCTTTTGCTGCAAACAGCACTCACCTTCTGGAAACAAAATTTCTATTACACAGCAAAAACGAGACGCAACGATGCGTGTTTCGCGGAATAGCAGGGAATGAATCAAGGGCTATTATAGGAGTCGTAGAGATCTGCTTTAAGTTTTTCACTCCTGCATTAATATTATTGGTGACATTTTCACGCCTTTATCATTTCATGAGAGATTCATCTGTTCTTTCAACAACTCGTCGAAGTCACGTGGTCATGACACGAGTGACCCATATGGCGGCAATAACATCATTTGCGATGGTGTTCTGTTGGTTTCCCAATCAACTGTTTTATTTACTTTTCAAATTCAACCTGGTAGAGTTGAACACGGGGTGGCACCGAGCAACTGTTATACTCTGTATGTTTAACTCATGCTTAAA